AATGTCTCTAGCCATTGATGTGGCCCGTCTCGGGGTCCCCATCCAGGAAGACGGCAGTGAACAGCGCAGCTGAGTTTGCTGGTAATGCACCAAAGCTACCAATATTCAACATACGGATCTCTACTAAATGAATAAAGGACTTGATGTGAAAGAAGCTTGAACTACCGACAAATTGTGCTTTGAAGCGAATCTGACAGGAACCCTAATCAGTTCGGCTGCGTTAATTTTTTGGATTACAAATGCCTAAGCGCATACAAACTGCAGCCGATGTATAATCTGTCTAGTAGTATCGTAATGACAACAAAATAGCAGCCCTTAGCGTAATGCACTACACATAATGTTGCTAGTTTCCAGGGGAGTCACCCGCAAAGCAAATTTGTCTGCAAATGAATGTATTTCGCTAGCAGCCCTTAAAGTTTTTATAAGGAGTGCCTGATGGACAGCAAGCAAAAAATGCCAATCAGTGATATTTTTGAAGGAACCAACTGAGTTCAAAGCTATTAATCAGTAATTTCTGCTTCTAGAACAAATATGCAGTAATTTGCATTGAACAAAAGGTCAATGAAATATCATATACCAGAACACATCACTATGGGATGGGAATTTTTGTTGGGACTTGGTGAGAGATTCAATTGGAGAACTAAATTGTGAAAAATGATTACCGTTCCATAGAACGAGACTCATTTAATCGGAGTGAATCCAATTTCCTGAGGTTGCTCGATCTTAGGGAAAAATTTGTGTTTCCTGAAAAGTTCAGCGGAAGAGGATGCACTGGTATTGGGAACAAATGGTACGTAAAGGACCGATCACAGCCGTGCTTAAATCATCAGCTGTAGGTCTTTCCTTAGGAATCACGCACAGGCTTTATTTGATGGTCTTCCATCTTTCCAGATAACCTAGCTTTTCGGATTCAAATTCGCTATCATTTACTGGACCTAGGAACACCTGTTTTCCGAAACCTAACGTCACTGCCAGTGGGAGATAAATTAGAAGGCTGATGGAATTTACTAGAGAGAAAATTAGGTTTTCGTGGTTTTGACGATTCTTTTTGCGAAGCAGTAATGATTATAGAAAACCGAGCGAGCAAGATTTCCCCTTGAACCACAGTGCTTAGTAGTTGAAAATGACCGCTTGTAGTGGAATACAAGTGGAAACTAGAAAGTTAATGCCGGCGACATCCGCATGCCTGAGAAGCGGAATAGCGATATTCACTGCGGGATTCACTGCCATGTAGCCAAAAATTATCGCAAATCTCAGAAATCTACCAATTAGAACTGTTAAGCAGTCTGTTTTAGATGAACATTTATGCTGCGCTTTCGTTCGAAAGACAAAAATAATGCCACCTGTCTCTAAAAGCTGGAACTCCGTCAAGGAAAACGATTTGAGCGCCGTTTAGCTTTTCATGACTCACTATATTTATAGTGTAATTAACAAGCTCAACCTGACCACCCCAATTTCTCTTCTAGTAGACGTACACTGATTATCCGAAACTTAATTTTAGTCATATTACGAGATTCAGTATGAGCTAAACCAACAGTTGTAAAAAAAATATCGATATAAAACGGTGACGAATTAGCACACTATTTTGAGCAATATAAAGATACATTACGGTATTTTACTGACGAGTAGACTTCAAAAACAACCATTCCATAGTCATTTAAGATATCACCTTGTAGTGCAAGCAATCCATTATGCTGTCGAATCGTGGATGGTGTTTCTCCAGTTCCTCAAGCCTCTTCTGATATTGCTGACCACACCCAAACACAGGCTCATTTGCTCCTCCTGGGCCCTGAGGACTCCATGTGTGTTGTTCTGGCAATGGAAAGCCAGTTCCACCAGCAACCGGCAGTTCTCGAATGAGGGTAACGGCACCTTCATTTTTTGCTTTGGAGTGAGGGAGCAGCATTTCAAATCGTGGCCATTCTGGTTGATACTAACCAGAAAATTGTCACACAGTTAGGTGCGTGGACAAAAATGTGTACGTTGACAAAAAAGAAAAGAGCAAACACTCATAGATGATGGTTGGACGATTGGTTAATTTGAAACAGCTAACACTCTATTTTTAAGTTAGTCAGTTAGTGTCTTCTCAACGATTATGAAAGCAAGTCACGCCGTCAAGCTTCCAAGAGCGGTGGGTATGACATGCTGACATTCACCTTCTTAGAAGATGGTGCCTGTTGTTAAATGTAGAACGGTGTTTTCCGCCTTATTGATTTTCCATCATTTCACTTTCATCACGATACATGTTTCGGCTCTGGGAAAGTTTCAGAATAGTCCAACTGCAAATGTGCCAAGCAAAGTAAAGCGTCGTTTTTTAAAACGTATATGTGAGAATAAGAATCGTTTTGGAAATGAATCAAGTGGACTTTCTTAAAGTGCCAAATATGACCAACTAGCCCGTTTTAAGCTCCAAAGTCAGATACGCTAGAATCGGTCAGAGAACTTGCCCACAAATAATTGAAGCATCCAACAAAAAATTCTGCAGAGAACTCTATTTCTGGAGTATTTTCTCGAAAAAATAATGAACTTTTTTTCCGGCATGCTACTGAATGGCTAGTAGACTGCATCCCGGAGATGGGGTGAGAACGCTGTTGAGACGTCACCAGATCGCTTAAGAGATGAAACTTTTGCATTCTGACTACTTGCGAGTAGCTCAATAGAATCGACTTACCAGAAGCCCAGGATTTCTGTTTAGTTTTGGTATTCCACGAATTTTTGCTGCTTCCAGGGGGGTTACCTTTACTTGAAATCCAAGCGGTGTGCCGTCCTCCTTCAGGTTTAATATTTGACATAGGTGGCTTGTTCTTATCGAACCAAGCCTTTCCAAATCAAATTTGCTGAAAAGTAGTTTGGGGAAAATGCCATTAATATTTCACTTAATTTTTCGATGACCTATCAGCAAGCATAATTGAATCACTGTCATGGGGCAATAAAAGGCTTTAAACGAGGTTTTTCTGGCTGCGTGATGAACGTACCCACCCATGTTCATTGGTCAGAGCAAGAACGACGAAGTGTAACCATGTCAGGCTTTTGGAATGCTTACATAGCCCAATAATCAAGAAGGCAATCCTTCCAACCAGAACCCTAGAGTACTACCCTGAAACCACGTATTCAGTGTAAGCCGATCTCTTTGAAAACCGTTTACCTATCAAACAATATTCTTCATGAAACGCACTTCACAATCAGTTTGACATAGCTGCTTTCAGCAAGGCTGCTTTCAGTCCCCAAATAGTTAAAACGTACTATAATAATATGGCGTTTCATTGCTACATGTGTTATTCTTCTGATATAAATTTAATCGTTCTGTCGCCGGAAGCTTCATGAGTTGTAATCTTTACACGCCGAACAAGCTTATGCAAGTTTTTATCTACGCAGTATCAAAAAGTGTCATAAACGGTCACCTTTCACTTCACGTAAGAGAAGGAAGAAATTAGTTTCTAAAAGCCATAACATTTGTCCATAAACAAATCGTTGCGCAACGATTTGAAAAACTAAATCGGTTGGGCCGACGGAAGACGGTTCGCAGTTTTTTACGGAGTTACTGGTTTCAAAATTTAAGGTGAACGAATAGACGTGTTCTTAGCACGGTAATTAATATCAATGTTAATAATAAATAGTAGCTACTTCCTGTAATTCTACCCAAAAGCATGAGGTTACCCAAGTCTAGAACTGGACTAGATGAGCTCCATTTTTGGCTAGATGGGGTAAGACAAAGCATGCATGATTTACTGAGTAATAACAAGACCAGGAGCTACAAAGATGTAGCGTAGGTGTAGATGCGTAAACTAGCAACCACCGAATGTTGTTGGTTGGAGAAAAATTGGCTGAAGGGATCCAATAAGAAAAGCCGGTGCCCGAGATATACTGGTTTTTGAGTACTGCCGTCAAAACGCTCCATTATGTGCTTCGTAATGAAGCTGAGCAGATGAAGGACAGTGTAATCCGGTGTTTTAGTGAGCGGCAAGCTTTGAGGTAAACATGACACATTTGAAATACGGAACAGAACGAGTAGAAGTTGCACAAAGCAAATGTTTTGTCATTGATTACAATTCAGGTGGGAGTTTTGTCCATACTTTAGGGGAATTACCGGTTTCCTGTTTGACAACCTTCCGTGAATTATTGACCTTGCACTCAGTCTTCTCAGTGAAATATAATCTGCCTCGTTTGGTCTGCCTTGTTTCTCTGCTGTCAGTGGCCTCACTAGGTGAAACTAGGTAAAAGTAAGCCGGATTTGGGAGTAAAAATAATTGTCCAGTTTCCAGAAGCCCTGAGTCCATTAAAGCAAAACTGAAATACCCTGAGACTATGTGGCCTACTGTTATCTAACTCTTAATGTTTACTATGGGTACATTGATGTAATAGTTTTGGTAGTCATTGTAATCAGGCGACTGTTTTTTTCACTCAGTTTATGGAAGGATGTTACTTCACTCCTTAGAAAGAATCAGACGTTTGGGCCCAAAAATCTGCGCACGTAACAAAAAAGCCGTACTTACTCACGCCACAGACGCCGGAAGTTTTCATCTATGAGATTAATCCTCATCAGTTTCATTGCCTGGCGAAGCTGCGGACAAAGTACACGGCCATTGGGTTCAAAGCAACTTGAAGGAAGCAGACGCTTTAGGTCGAATGAAGGATCACATGCTATTTCCTGCAGCATTTTATATGCTTGTGCCACGGACACACATTTCTCAGCGCCCAATCCGCGAAATATCACGGGAGGTGGACAACTTCCCAGAGGTGCTGCTGTGAAAGCCTCTTCAAATTGCCGGAACGACACTAGTGCCTCTTTGTCCAAAGAATACCTAATTTAATGACGCAGAAATCGGTAAGATTTATGGACCAAAGCAAACCAGCATTATACAGCATCCAAAGGAACTGTTTGGAAATGAAAATGGAAAAATTAAAAAAATTAATCACAGATTATTGTTCATGAATATCGGAACAGTCCGAGAGCTTTCATTTCCGGGCGTACTTCCAAGGCTTTCCAGAGGATGGCTTTCTGTTGAAAACGCCTGCTAACGACACTAGAATCTACGTGATTTTTTATTGATTAGCTCGGAATCTATTTTTTACCAGCACTATTGCCGTCACATGTGATGTTCTTTGGCTCTTCATGGACCTAGATTTGAATTTATCGTTCACGAAATTCAGCAGCAACCACATACGTTAGAAATTCACTGTCTTAGTTATGTAAATAAAAAAGCATGCCACAGTGAATCTTACATAAAAACTGACCTTTCCAGTAAGCGGTGAAACAGTTCAATGTTTATTCTTGGACACAGTGAAGCCACGATTTTCAGCAATGTTCCTCTGTGTGATCAAACAATAATTAGATTATCTAGTTACTTTGATACACTCCCTGGAGTGTCTGCAGCGTGTTCTTCGAAGAGAAGCTTGATAGCATGACGTTTCTTTGCCAGCTGATTTCGAATGATCAGGTCCATCTTCAAGGGTTGTTAGCGTAAGTGTTTTTTTAGAATACCTCATCCAGTGTCGGCAGACCTCTTCGAGTTTCGGCATCATCTGAATTTATACCTGATGGGTCTTTCTCTTGTCCGAACTTTCTCCCAGGACATTTTGGGGATTTGATAAAGTTTGGGATTTCTGTAGTGGACAAACACAAACATTATTGTCCTATTACAAGTAGGCCACAGCCTGGGAACAAGTAAAAGCAAACGTCTGATATAAAACCAAGCCAAAGAAAACGCTTCCATTTTTCGTTGATTGTGGTCATTTTCAATCGTTTTATTGGGTTTATTTGCCAAAGCCCCAGTCTGCATATACTTTTTGACCAAACTGTTATTTAGAACAATTTTGCGCCCGGTGTCGATAACCCATTGGCTCTTTCAATTGTTTTGAATGGGGATCCGAAATATCTTGGTATAGGCGCCTCTTTAGGGTAGTACTTACATTATTATTCATGGATAAGTTGGGAAGATATCCAAAGTGCCGATGCTCCATTAAAAAAAAGAAAATGAATGAATGAATTCAAAAGCATGAAAAGACATCTAAGTGAATTTTATTCACTTCTGGTCAACCTGTACACAATAATTTTCGTCCCATCCCTTGTGAACCTGAAAGATTTGGGTGAAAATACAACCAATTCCATACCACTTATGTTGGCGAAAAATGTATCCACACTCAAGAGAATCATTTAATCGTTTGATATCTTCTGTACACTTAACGTGGAAATATATATCGGGAAGCTCCACAGTTTATTTCGGTATTTCTTGTTTTGACATTGGGTTAGCGACTGAGTTGATACTTTCCAGATGCGTAAGTAAGCGGAGTCAGGAATTTTTAATCCAAAATCTTACTTTTTGTCAATTTACTCTTCTCATTTGAGCGAACAAGACCACCTGGTTATTAATCAAGCATAATCTATCCATTCAACACATCTAGTGGAAATTAAGATACAATTGTCTTAACTACATGCTCTTCCACTGACCTGTGACCACGGAGTATCAGTGTTGGGATCATTGTTGTTTATTCACCCTTCATATAGTACTTTTTTGTGTGCAAAATCGTTTGTTATAGATTGCAGCAGAAACGCTTGATAAAATAAATGTCAGATACCCGATGCGTTTGGGATTGGCCGGAAAACTTCACTAGTATAATTATTCAAAACGTCTTGCAATTCTTGCAGTCTAATTAATAAGAACTGAGATGAGCCCGGTAACTATTGCGTGGAGTCCATATGAGTGCCCACGGTTCACAACTGAACACTAGTGGGGGCTTTTCACATGAAACCCCTCTTCTAATGAGCAGAAATAAGAAGATAACCAATAACTGCTTCTCGGTCTACTCTATCAGAGTAGATTTGGTACATCCCTTACTTTCACTTGTAAAAACATCATTAGTGCCATATAGATTTCCACTCCAGATGCACCCATGAGTCTTTCGACCTGATCATCCAGCCAAATGCTTACATTTACACCATCAAATTAACCAAGATAACTTTTTCTTGGAAGAAAGCATTTTTTGCCTGGTAGACTACATAGAGATACAACTCTCCGGCGCATTTCCTGCACAAATGTCACAGCCCTACTGCTTAACTTGAACTAGGCCTTAACAAGGTCTTAGGGTTACCTGGACTGTGCCCAAAATAGAAATATCAAGCATCTGATCTAAAAAATATCTAATGCAGGTATCTTAAGGTGTCTTGCCTGAAGCTTCAAGAGATGTTTGCAAAAATTAACCAATACCACTACATATTCTAAGAAATAAAACGCACTAGTGATAACTATTGACCCGGTTATCTCAGCTGATTTCACTGTTTGTATCAAATCAAAAAGTAGACGTCTACCGAAATTGACTTCACAGAGGGTGCCTATTTTATATTAGTTACAGTTAAAGTGAACTGGGCAGGCGTTTATTAGGCGACTGCCTGAAATTTATCAATCCTAAATGAATGTAATCTAATTCAAAAAGACGCTCTGTTTTACCAACGGCTGGATGACAAGCACGCAAACCAACGTTCAGTCAACAGAATGGAGCTGCTAACTGGTTGGGAAGTTATATTGGTTGAACTATAAGTACCACGCCCAATCTTTAAATCTGTTTAGCTCTTAGTGACGTGATCCTTCCTGCACTAAAAGAAGAGTAATCCTGGTATTAATAAAGCAAATCAATCGGTGAACAATGTTCCAACTTATCGTTCTTGCCTTCACTAGTCAGGAATTTTTTCACTGCATAAAACAATACCAAAGCAGCTCTTGCATCAGTACTATCTACAAGACTCATCAAAAGCTAGTAGTTAGTATAGTTTGTATTCTAGTCTTTACAATAAATACAATTCACAGTAGTGTGATATGTGGTTGAATTGTGGTTGATATGTGGTTAAAATTCGTCCGATAAGCGGACACATGATGGACAGTCACTTTGTCTTGGATTTACCTATTTTGAATAGAGCGGATGGCCATTGTGTTGCTGAGCACAAATAAGAATACTTTCACGACTGGACCAGCCCGTTATCACCATTCATTACAACATTCACCAGTTTATAATTTAACTAACTTATTACCGGATAAATATATTATCTATTTTAAATACTGCCACAGTAATCAGCTGTAATGTAAGGGTGCAGGAGTTATTTGAGAGCCAAATCAGAAGAACAAGCAGATACGGAAAACGGCCCTTCAGGCTTTACCAGCAAAATTGTGTCCGATAAGCAAAACCAGCAAACATTTTACTGAAATATCTAAGCCGAGTAATGCCAGATACTTGGGTACTTCAAAGAAAATTTCCACTTATATTATAGAATATTAGCAGATGGAAGAACCCGATATATCGGAGAAATATTATTCAAACAGACTGGGAAACTTGTTTCAGGAACTGGTTACTTCTCTGGGTATTCTATCTGAATGGAAGTCAAGAGGCCTCCATTTTGAACACCAATAATGGTGATGACAACAGAGCCGACTGCAAGATCCACCGGGCAGAGGTGGTGTTCAGCACATCCAGAATGCCAAACTTTTTGATAAAATGCATTCGTTCTTGGACTTACTCCAATTTCCTTCCATCTTCACACACAAAACCCATATTCTTTGAATGAAACTCAAATGGGACAACCAAACCATTGAGAGGCACAAGATCTTGAGTGATGCTTGTCTAGTGCAACTTTTCAATCTATCCTTGAAGTATTCTTATGGCGTAGGTAGCTCAAGTTTCCAGATGTTTCAGAGAAAACGAGTGAAGTGTAACAAATTCATGCTAAGTATTTTAAGAAAAACCAAAGTTTTGATCAAGGCATTTTATGAAAGATTAAAGGAGTACTTTGCTTGAAGGTATGACATAAAGCCAATTTAACTTCAGCAAACAAAATTCTAGACTCTGATCAAATTGTGAAAGCGGATTTTGAAAGGTCAAACAGGAGTAGTGATTGCACCTCTTTGGGAAATATTAGAGAATATTTCATTACTGAATACGAGCACATGATGCTGCTTGTGAAAGGCCCCAACCATCGTCGTCAGCAGTCTCTTTTAGAATATTACGTAAAATGCATGACGGAAATCGTTTGTTTTCAGCGCTTTCTTCCTTAGATTTGCATCCTGCCCAATGTACCTTCATCTTACAATTTCTTCACTACATCAAATAAAGTTTAATTTGGGTTGAAAGTTGTTTGGGGGTATTATGGCTTATTTTGTTATTATCTTTCAGCTGTCCAATATTCAAAGAATGTTCATTGTCAAATCTATTTCTCGAAAATCTACAGATGCGTGTGTTTTCCAACTTTTGTCTGCTGTTTCAAAACAGCCAACCATTTTGCAATGGTCATAAATGGTAATTTTGTATGTTGGGTGGTTAATCTGCCCGCATTGGACTTCCAGTGTGGGTTAAGGCAAAGCAACAAAACGTCTAAATTCAAGTAATATATCTTTCACTGAACCTTTCAAACAATGTTTGCCTAATATACAAACTGTGAATTTTTTTGCCCCGTGTGATGATTTAAGTTTGTTATTGTGGCCAAACTTGCCAAACTCGTCCATTAGCCCTGATTCCTATGTTTCCGAGAAGCCTTGTGCGTTGTAAACTTTTGAAAATACATTTTACAACTGGATAAACTAGCAATTTTTAGCGGAAATTTAATGTTTTTAGGGCAAAACGTCAGTGAGAACTTTTTTACAAAATTGCTACCTAGTTTATATGAAACTGTTTGTAAAAGTTCGATAGTGGTCTGCCAGTGTTGTGCTTTTATTTATCACAACCATCTATTTTTCTTGGCTTCCGGTTTCAGAAATTTTTATGGCGTTTTTCAAACAACAATTGCAAGAATAGCTTTTTGGACACTTATTTCTCAAGATGAAGTATATCAAAACGGAAAATAGCATTAAAATTCAAAAACTGCATGCATGCATCAAACAATATCCCAATTTGGTGCTAGTGAACAACACCTTCAGAAAAAAAATCCGAAAATAAAGCTTAGCCCGGAAAATAAAAGATCATTTTATTTTGACGCACATTTAGGGACAAAAATATATCTCGAACTTTACCACAAATCTGTGCTAAATAAACAGAACAGTAAACGTTCTGGTTTTTTTATTAGTTCTTCCCGTTGAATATGCCTATGACAATAGAGGAGAAAACCGGTGGCTCACTTAGATGGTTGTCGTGTCGGCTTGTTTGCTGAGCTGGGCAATTTGGTTGCAAACGTTTCATTACCAATCGAGGTGATATCATCAG